TGTCTGGAAAAAAAAGAAAGGACAAAAACAAAAGCTTACCAACCAATCTAACTCAGCTGGTACAGCCACCAACTGTTGAAACTCGAAATACAGACCCAAGTTCGAATCCAGATATACGATCAGATGACCAGAATGAAAATAAAATCATTCTGAATTACCTGGCGTCCCTCAATGGCATGATGATATCTCACGGCATCGTCGTCCTTCAAAAAAAAAAAAAAAAAAGCAGCAGCAGCTGAATTTCTTTAAAGTTTGGCAATTTGCATCACACAGCAGCAGCCATAGCAGCATCACGTGAACCTGATCCATTTCCCTATCCTTTTTTACCTGTTCAAATTATTATTTGGCGGGAACATTTACCTGTTGAAATTATTATTTGGCAAGAACATTTACCTGTTGAAATTATTATTTGGGGGGAACATTTACCTGTTGAAATTATTATTTGGCGGGAACATTTGCCTGTTGAAATTATTATTTGGCGGGAACATTTACCTGTTGAAATTATTATTTGGCGGGAACAAACGGGAAAAAAGGGAACAGAGGGAAGGGAGAGGGAAGGGAGAGGGAAGGGAGAGGGAAGGGAGGGAAGGGAGGGAAGGGAAGGAATGTCAGATGGATAAGGTTGCGTATCGAAATTCGCTGAAGATTCGTTGAAGCTTCCGCGAAAGTTCCTGATCCATTCCCTCCAATCATGATCCCGGTCTTAAAGAGGGCAATGGGTAAGATTTTCACCAGCCGAGATCCAGATCCGTTTCCTCCTCCTCCTCCTCCTCCTCCTCCTATCATCCTCATATCCTAGTCAAAAAAAGCTACCGCCTTTCCCCTGAACAACCCCCCACCTCATCATGACTGCACCGGACCAGACATCTGGCTTGTATACATTCCTAATGAGGGTGCGCTGTGTTCGGGGCAAAGGGTACTCCGCTCTCTGAGTGCTCTCATGTGTGTTCTAATCAATCACCTATCTTCCACCTATTAGGCCTAATCAATCACCTATAAGGCCTAATCAATCACCTATTAGTGCCTAATCAATCACCTATTAGGCCTAATCAATCACCTATCTTCCACTCCAAATCTTTCTTCGGCATTTCCAGCAACCAGGGTGCGTTGTGTTCGGGGGAAAATACTAACAGATAGTGCTTGATGATTTCTTCAGGATCAATCCTATTTATATCCCCATCCTTTTTCAGTCCGAAAAGTCCTGAGTAGTAAGGGGGTTTCCCTTTTTTTTTTTTTCTTCTTTTTTTTTTTCTTTTTTTTTTAAAGATCAATCCTATTTATATCCCCATTCCTTTTTCAGTCC